ACGCTACGCCCATTTTAACGACAGACGGATGACGGAAATATAGTTATCCCCTTTTTTTCTTGTATGGAAACGTTTATCAATACACGCACCACGTGTAAGACAAAGACAACTAGCTAACGCACACGACGGAGCTAAAACACAAGAAAACACTACCAGTAACGCGTTAAAAGTGTTAAAAAAGGAAGGGAGTGGTATTTGGGGAATTATTTACATTCTTATTCAATCTGCATATTTCTAAAAATAAAACTTCTATCCGCGTACTTGGCCGATATCCAAGTTGGGGCTGATGCTCTGCCCCGTGTCCTCCAGGATGTCCACCCTCAGCACCTGGTGCTGTGCTGTGAGCACGTCCAGGCAGACCTCGGTGCAGCAGACGCCGTACACGTCGTACCCGAGGAGTCCGTCCAGAGGTGACGTCATTGAATTCGTCTGCAGGTTCACATCTGGAAGCAAGTAATTTGACAGGATATATACAACTGTCATGATTTTCATCATCAAAACATGACATATCAGGAAGTTTGACTAAAGAAAGACATCTCCAAAATGTCGAAAGGTTCCGTTAATTTACTAATACCTACGGTAAAAAAGAAGTAAGAAAAGAATATGTTTAGAGCGCACACAAAGACTAAACTATCGCACAACTGTTGTGCAATTGTCGATTGTTTCGCAGCCAATTCAACTGTTTCGGTGCACAACTAAAAAATCTATTAATGTGCGCACCTCCATATAAGCTTCTAGGAATCAAACCAAGACTAAACAGTTGTGCGATAGTTTAGTCAATTATGTGCGTGCTTTTAGTCTGTAGGTCTAAGTTCTAGATGTCCTAATGTCAGCTACAAAGCTACTTACTATTATCATAAGATTTCTTTACAATCTGTTCCCAAGTCGGTTCCTTCATCCCTTTCTTTGCCGGTTCCAATCTCTTTAGTAATTCCCTGCAGGCTTTCAGCGTCGCATATGCTACGCATTCACTGGTGATACTTCCATTGGTGGCCATTGAGTTCGGTGATACGAAGCTATCAGTACCTTTAACCTGCACTTTATCTAACGGTATACCTAAAGTGTATGCGCATACTTGTGCTACCTTAGTATTGATACCCTGACCCATCTCAACACCACCATGGGATATCAACACTGACCCATCACCATGATACACAGATATAGTCACTGGATAGTTTCCAGAATATCCTATCTGAAATGACATTATAGACAGCTTCAAAGCACGTTTCTTCCATGCATTTCGTTGATTGTATTCAGCGATTTCAGACTTTCTGTCGTCGTAGTTAGTTTCCATTTTGAATGTAGCTATCATTTCTTTGAGTGGATCGTTCTTTGGTGCTAGATTTGCTATTCTAACATCTATCGGGTCTTTATTAGTCGCGTGTGCGATACGTTCCATTATGTGTTCCATGATCGCAGCTGCCTCTGTCGTTGCTGAAATTGAAAAATATAAACAATCATACTAATATTATAATTTGAAAGTTTAGATGTTTGTTAGAGTGTAACCTAAACTGCTGAACGGATCTGGATGAAAATTCGCATAGATATAGAGGATAATCCGCAAGAACACATAGGCTACTCACTTTTGTTTTTTTTTTATATTCCACGCGGACGGTGTCGCGGGCAAAAGCTAGTATATTTTGCCTTCACACTGCAGAAATCATTTCTTAATTCATTACACGTCTTTAGAAAAGCTAACGTTGACCAGTATAAATTGACCTCTAAATTAATTAAAACCAACTCACCAGGAGCTCTGCACCAAGTGGTGGAGGCCTTGTCGGTTAGCACACTGTACCCAGTGATATTAAACCTACTACTATTGTATAAGTTAACCAAACTTTCTCCTATAAAGTCGCCCTGAGAGTCGTTGTAAGAACAGCCGCAGTCGGAATAGAAAGTTAAGTTAAGATATTGGATAACACCGAAATCGTTCACTCCCACCTGGAAATTGAACGAATACATTTTAAAAGTTTGGGAAGTTACAACTCTATACTTCACTAGCTGTTTCCAGCGAATTCCCCCGCGACAAATTAAGATAAACAGCCTATGTTACTCACTGATAATGTAGCTTTTTAATTGTGCAAGAATTTTTGAAATCGGTCCCAGTAGTTTTTGAGTTACTTCAATACACACAAAAATACATTTTTTTTCTCTTTATAATATTAGTATAGATATAGATATAGATAGATATAGATAGACGACAGAATGAATGAAATGACAGAAGATATTTGAGATCTGGAGAAGCAATTCTTCACAAATCCATTCAAAAAATGATATTTACACAAGAAATAGATTAAACACTGACTTAAGAACTCCTTAACATACAAGTTAAAAAAGGCTACAATGGAGAAGAAAGCACAACTTAAGTTAGAGATTATGACTAGAATCTAGATGTCACAAAATTTACCTCGTATTGAAATAGACAAGCACAGCGTTTCCCGAGTGCGAGCATGTTGTGTGTTAAAGGCATCACGAGGTGCGCAGGACGGCGCAGTAAATGCGCAGCTAGTGCGCACGCGCACGCCACTTGCGCAGAACGCGAGGCCTTCGCGCCGTATCCCCCGCCCACACGCGGTACTGACACCTCCACACTAATGATACAATTAATCCCAATAATACATCACACACGTTGTATAAAAAGGATCAATTGAAAGAATAGGAAAGGAAAAATGCATTTTTATGTCATTTTTAAGGTCATAACGAGCAAGCGGACACCAGAATCCACCAAAATGATGAAGCAACCGCTGCCTGATATTCGCAATAGCGGATGCGTTGCCTACCCTAAATCGACGTTGGAGGAAACGTACATAAAGAGGACATTTCCCAATGCGTCTGGTCCAGCGTCAGATCCACGTTCCCTTCCCATCCTTTTCTTATAAAAAAA